CCCCCCTCCCCCGCCCGGGCGGGTGCCGGGCGGACACGCAGAGCCCGGAAGGGCCCGCGACGTCCCCAGGCCGGACGCAGCCTTGGCGCCCAGCCCGCCTCCTGCCGCCGCCTGCTTGGCGGGGGCCCGGGGGGACACGCAGAGCCCGGAAGGGCCCGTGACATCCCCAGGCCGGACGCAGCCTTGGCGCCTGGCCCGCCTCCTGCCGCCGCCAGCTTAGCAGGGCCCCGGGGGGACACGCAGAGCCCGGAAGGGCCCGCGACGTCCCCAGGCCGGACGCAGCCTTGGCGCCTGGCCCGCCTCCTGCCGCCGCCAGCTTAGCAGGGCCCCGGGGGGACACGCAGAGCCCGGAAGGGCCCGCGACGTCCCCAGGCCGGACGCAGCCTTCCAACTTTTTCATAATGCATATTTTACCCAACCACATAAAAGTTTACCTTTACTTTCCTGGCTCTATGAATCCATTACAAGAGATAGAAACAAACAAACAAACAAAAAAAAAAACCGCACAAAAAGATGAGGCAATTGGAAGTTTGAATACTGACTAAATATTTGATATTAAGAAATTACTAATTTTAAGGCATGAAAAAGGTAGTGCAATTATATTTTTAAAACAATTCTTCATCTTTTAGAAATACATTCTGAAGTATTTATGGGTTAAATTATATAATATCTGGAGTTTACTTCAAAATAATATGAGAGGGGAAGAAATAGGAAGAGATATAAATGAGATAAGATTAATGATGAGCTAATAACGATTGAAGCTGGGTGATGGGTACATGGGATTCATTATACTCACTTAACATATTAACATCTTTGAAATATTAAACAATGAAAGGTTGAAAAAAAAGAAACTCAGAGACAAAAACTTGTTAACTACTAGATTATAAGAGCTCTTTGAAGGCTAGGACTACTTGTATTTATCTTTATATCTCTGGAACCTAGAATGATATTTGACATACATTTGCAATTCAATTTATTTAAATGACTGAATATCAACTCTTTATAATATCTTTAGTACTAGACTTAAAGGTGTTCCATATTCCATGTAATTGTGACATACAGTCAAATACCATTCATTAAAACCAATTTAGAAACGTAGTGAAGGAGGTGCTATGGGTTATATAATAGTTTGTCCCCCAAAGCTTCGTTTTTGGGAATCTCCCCATTGTAATGAATGGCATTTAAGAGGTGAGACCTAGAACACACAGCAAAAAGCCAGAATCCATGTGCATCAGAGATGGGCCTAGCCCTGCCCCTTAACCAGAAAGCCTCTGCCCTAAACCTCTCCTTCCAGCCCAACACCCAGAGAAAAACCAAGTAGGGTGGTCTCTGTCTTCTTTCTGTCTCTGTCTCTCTCTCTCCCTTTCTCTCTAAAATTTTCTCTTCTATTTATATATATATTTTTTTAATCTGTAGGTACTGTCTCTTGTTTCTGACCTCTACTTTCTCTTGCTAATTTCAGAATCCATGTGCATCTAAGGTGTACCTAACCCTGCCCTTTTAACCAGAGAGCTGCTGCCCCTTTTGCTCGGTGTGCTAGCACACCACGTGGTTCTTTCTCTCTCTCTCTTTTTTTTTTCTTTTTCTTTAATTTTTTTTCCTTTTTTTTTTGTCTTTTTCCCTGTGTTTCATTTCTTTTACCTGACTTCTCACCTTCCACACATTGTCTAGGCAGCTCAGGGTGCACAGTAGTGAAACATCTAAATACTTTTAGGGTCATAGAAAACCTCATCCCCACTAAACTGGTACAGAAAGGGAGACGCTCATCTTTATAAATCTAAATTGAAATTCTTTTCTGTCAATACCATGTTGCAAAACACAGTAATAGAGGAGAAATAAGCATAGAAATACCTCACAGTAAAGTGAAGCATTTGAGCTTACAGGAGCAGAAATCTCTAACAAATTAACCAAACGTGAATATACCACCAGATGACTAAAAATCATAGAAGAGAGTCTGCAAAGTGAGCAGCTGAGAGAAATACAGAACTTCAGTGAGCACAGCTCACCTCCTCCCACAGACCTCTGAATTCTTAGTTCAAATCTTGCAGCTCAGCCCAGATGCACCTATTCCTTTAAAACTGCGAGCCCTTTGTAATATTCAGTTCCACTGACAAAAGTGCAAATTGCTTGGTGAGGACCAGGGGAAACAAAACTGCAGAAATATTGCAGGTCATCTTCTGTGTGCCTCTAACACTCAGAATTAACTTCATGAAGGTAGGAAGTAACCTATAATCCATCAGATGGCCAGAAACCACTGCATAGGGACAAGAAATATGGGAAACCAAGAAAATATCTTTCCTCCAAGGGGAAGAACAGCCCTTCATCATACACAGATAGTACAATGGAACTTGTAGAAATGTCAGATAAAGAATTTAGGATATTCATAGTGACAAACCTAACACAGATACAAGAGAAGAGAGACAACAAGTTCCAGGAGGTGAGGAAGTTCTTCCGCGATCTGAAAGAGGAAATGCATGCCATATAAAAGAATCAAATGGAATTGTTAGAGATGAAGGCTGTAACATAGGAAATCAAAACCTCCTTTGAAAGTATTAAAAGCAGATTAGATCATGCAGAAGATCAAATCTCATATGTAGATGACAGAACCTCTGACCTAGAAAAATTAACCCTAAAGACTGAGAAAACCCCAAAAATGAGAATAATATACTTGTAATACTAGATACCATTAGACATCCAAACATCCAGATAATCAATGTCCCAGAAGGTGAAGAAACTAATCAGGGCACTGATAATCTATGCCATGAAATGCTGGAAGAAAACTTTCCAAACCTAGAGAGGCATTTGATGATCCAGTCCCAAGAAATACAAAGGACCCCAAATAGAATCAACCCAAGAAGATCTTCTCCAAGACACTTTATAGCCATGTTGACCAAAACCACAGACAAAGACAAGATACTAAGATTGGCAAGAGAAAAACATCAAGTTACCTACAAAGGACATCCCATCAGGCTAACAGCAGATCTCTCATTGGAAACAATGTGAGTGAGGACAGAATGGGAAAATATATTCAAAGTTCATGTGAAAAACATTTTCAACCAAAAATACTATATCTGGCAAGATTATTCTTCACATGGGAAGAAAAGATAAAAACATTCTCAGATAAACAAAG